GGAGATATAAATGGGTCTGACCCAATGCCATGCTGGTTGACACTCATTTTGAACAACAGAACTTTATCTGAAGTTTACCGTGGCCAGTTTTGCTCATTTTGCCTTAACATTTTCAGGAGAGACAAAGCATTTCAGGGAAGGCAACAAAAAATAGGAGGTATGCTGCAAGATCGCCAAGGGCCCAGTAAATCCTGCATCTCTAGGGTATCCAAAATGTATTTTGATTGAACTGGGATATAGTGTGTGCAAGGAATGCAGGAGGAGGTCCTCAGCCTGGGATTATTTATCCTGGAAAGAACAGGTGTTAGAGACAACTGTTTAGTTTCTCCTTTTCACCTTCTCTCATAATGTGAGAACAGATAAATTGCAAGGCAGTTATTCTGGAACATATGAGAGAAAATACTTTTCTATCCAGAAAATAATCAACTGCTGATGCACTCATTGCAGGACATCATCAAATCAAATGAGGACATAAAACAGCTGTGCAGCATCATGATCTCTCAGAACAGTGGTAGCTACAGAACCTGTGGAGTTGTGCCTGCCTGTAGGAGGGCTGAATTTGCACCACATTTTCATTTGTGCTGGTATGAGAGATTTTCCTGTCAACTCGGCATAGGTTATCCACCTCTCCAAGAGGTTGTAGTTAAGTCATCAGAAGAAAGAATTCTTCCATCAGCCTAGTACAATTTTGACATTGTTGGCATCACAGAAACTTGGTGGGATAATACACATGATTGGAATGTTTGTATGGAAGGGTACAGCTTGCTCAGGAAGGACAGACAGCGAACAAAGGAAGGAGGTGCTGCCTTATACATTAAAAATGAACACACTTGGAGTGAGGTGGAGATGGACATAGGAGACAGAAGTGTTGAGAGTCTCTGGGTTAGGCTAAAAGGGATTACAAACAAAGGTGATGTCATACTAGGAGTCTACTACAGGCCACCTACCCAGGTGGAAGAAGTGGATGAGGCTTTTTTTAAACAACTAACAAAATCATCCAAAGCCCAAGATTTGGTGGTGATGGGGGACTTCAACTATCCAGATAGAAGTTGAAATGGGAAAAACTAAGCAGCTGGGCACTCCAGCATCACCAACTAACCACCCTGCTCCCACTAACGCGCCCCAGCCCAGGAGATACCCCAGGAACCGGGAACGAGACGATGCAGGGGCTTCTTAGAACCTTTGGAACAAGTCTGTCTTGGGTACAGCATCCCAAAGGCCAGGAGAGGGAGGAGCTGAGATCACAGCTCAGTGGGCCCCTAACACAAGTGGCAGTTGAAATGCCCAGGAGAAACATGAGTGACTATGAACTTTAAACAAAGGGTCAGACTTAGAATGGGGCTCACTGCCGAACACGCCCATCGCCGCTTTAGAGCCTTACGGTGGAAACCGCATATGACAGGGCCCAAAAGCAAGCTGTTCCACTGCGTAGGAAAGATAGAAAATACAGCAGAAGACCGCTTTGGCTTAACCGGGAGATCTTGCATGATCTAAAAATAAAAAAGGAGTCCTATAAAAAATGGAAAGTAGGACAAATTACAAAGGATGAATATAGGCAAACAGCACAGGAATGCAGGGGCAAGATTAGAAAGGCAAAGGCACGGAATGAGCTCAAACTAGCTATGGGAATAAAGGGAAACAAGAAGACTTTTTATAAATACATTAGAAGCAAGAGGAAGACCAAGAAGAGGGTAGGCCCACTGGTCAGTGAGGAGGGAGAAACAGTAACAGTAGGCAAACAGCACAGGAATGCAGGGGCAAGATTAGAAAGGCAAAGGCACGGAATGAGCTCAAACTAGCTATGGGAATAAAGGGAAACAAGAAGACTTTTTATAAATACATTAAAAGCAAGAGGAAGACCAAGGCGAGGGTAGGCCCACTGGTCAGTGAGGAGGGAGAAACAGTAACAGGAAACTTGGAAATGGCAGAGATGCTCAATGATTTCTTTGTTTCGGTCTTTACTGAGAAGTCTGTAGGAATGCCTAACATACTGAATGCTAGTGGAAAGGGGATAATTTTAGAAGGTAAAATAAAAAAAGAACAAGTTAAAAATCACCTAGAAAAGTTAGATGCCTGCAAGTCACCAGGGCGGATGAAATGCATCCTAGAATACTCAAGGAGCTGATAGAGGAGGTATCTGAGCCTCTAGCTATCATCTTTGGAAAATCATGGGAGACAGGAGAGATTCCAGAAGACTGGAAAAGGGCAAATATAGTGCCCATCTATAAAAAGGGAAATAAGAACAAATCTGCAAACACCTGGAAGATAATAAGGTGATGGGGAACAGCCAGCATGGATGTGTAAAGAACAAATCATGTCAAACCAATCCTATAGCTTTCTTTGATAGGATAACAAGTCTTGTGGATAAGGGAGAAACGGTGGATGTGGTATATCTAGACTTTAGTAAGTATCAGAGGGGTAGCCGTGTTAGTCTGAATCTGCAAAAGCGACGAGGAGTCCTGTGGCACCTTATAGACTAACTGAAGTGTAGGAGCATAAGCTTTCGTGGGCAAAAACCTACTTCGTCAGTTGCATTCCTTTTGATGTTGTTTGTGAATTTAACCTGGATACAATTTTGGGAAGTTAATTATAGTTAACACCAGGAACACTTGGTTTCACCCAAAGACTTTTCTATCTAATTTCACCTGATGTGTGCATCTGATTGTTTAAGTAAACCTGGTCTTGGTGTGTTTTTAGCTTGTTTCAGTTGCAGGTCCAAATGAGACTTCTGCTTGGGGTATTCTTCTCTCTTCAGTGTATGCACATCTCCTGTTAGGGTACTAGGAGCACTCTGTATGCACTGAGGGGAGAA